GGAGCAGGCAAGAGTGTAGGGTGTGAGCGAGCTGGGGAAATCAGAAGAGGAGGCGTGCGCAAGGCCGATCGGAGAGCGAAGCTTTGAACAATCGGCGTGTCTCGAGCTCTGCTCACACTCTTCTGAAAAGCACCGATGACATCACTGCCTTGATGCCGACACCACTTCACGTTTTTGAAGTCCGCGTTTTTCTTAGTTTGATATAGCCAATGGGTTGTTCATTATAAAAGGTACTGTTTAACATGCAAAAGGAGATGTGCAAAATTACTCTAACGTCTGGCAACACTGAGCGCGTGCATCCGACCATGAGCCATATTTTTTAAGTCGAACTTGGAGAGCCGTGCCAGCATGTTGATCAACCGTGTAGCCTGCCGAAAGAATGACGCAATGATAGGACGTGGTGAAACAATCTAGGAGCTATAGCTGTCCTTTCTGATACGTTCGCAAACTTGTGCGCGTCGACAACGTTGACTCGCTAGCAGAGCAAGCCGTATGTGTTCGCCTTCGAAGCATATAAGCTGCCCTCATCGGTTTCGACAGACGTTTGCAATTCAAGGTAGTATGTGAATACTGTTGCGTGTGAACGCATACCAAAGAGGTTAGACTTACTAAAAATTATTTTAGGAACAACGCACAAATTGGAAACAGATCCCTCGTATGCATGCTCATTTGCATTGTTTTAGCGATAGGATTTCACGTATGTCAAAGTAAAAGAGGAAAAACTGATGATGGTTTTCTCGTGCCAACTGCTCGAGGACTACTCATTCTTGTCATTTGAAGAGTACAGGGTGTCACAAAAGAAAATTTACAGTGTCTTTTTCACTGCAAAAATAAACTAGGCATCGCCGAACGCCCATTCTCTGCCCAAAGGTAGCGCTAGAGGTCACAACCAGATGCCAAAGTTTCAGCCTGATCTGATTACTTAATCAAAAGTTATAAGCGATTTTTTCCTAATTTCAATGGGAAAATGGCGGCCGACGGAGTTTTCAAATACATAGGGCTCTATGGCACCAGAAACTGGAAACGGGTGAAAATGGGCTCCATTTTCCCATTGAAATTTTCAGAAAATCACTTATAACCTTTAAGTTATCGGATCGGGCTGCAACTTTGGCATCTGGTTGTGACCTCTAGCGCTACCTTTGGGCGGAGAATGAGCGTTTGGCGATGCCTAGTTTATTTTTGCGGTGAAAAAAACCCTGTACTATTTTTTTTTGTGACACCCTGTATTTATAAACGATACCTTTGACACATACCTTGTTGCCATTGCTGTCGGTGACACCACCACGCTTACGGAGAGGTATGCCGTAATTTGATGGCATCTAGCCGGTAGAAAAAGAAGATCGCGGAGCACACGCCAGCGTGCACCAACCCGTCCGGCCGCTTTTCTCGACGTAGCCAAGATGGCGGATCTAGTTCTTCTCGAGCCTAGAAGATGGCGCTGCGCATTTCACATATCTCCTGTTTTGTTCTAAATATTTTGGTGTTCAATATAGACAATAATTCACTGTATTCGGGTTTGCTATAAACAGATTCGACTGCACTCCATTCAGTAGTACCAGAAGGTTGTTTACAAAACTGGTGTGCGCATAGGGCAACGACCGAGAAGGTCTGGGGTTATTTTTGTTGGGAGAGGAGGGGACCCCAGAACTCCAAGCTCCGATTCAAATGATTAATGTGTAGACTTAAAGCTGGCTGGCCTTTGTCTCCACTGCACTCGTCTAATGCAGAACACAGGCATTCTTTAACTTTCACACTCTGACGTGTTTGACAAGCGCAGTGGAGACCAAGGCTTTAGGTCTACCCACTAATCGTTTCTAATCGGAGCTTGGCATTCTGGGCGTCCCTACGCGCTCTGATCTTAATCTCCTCCTCTCTCCGAGTTTCTCGTCGCATCGATTTAGGCCACATGTAAAGGCCTATTTTTAGACAGATCTATTTCTTGGTTGTACGGGGGTATTGCTGTTTTGGGCATAAATTCATTTTACCTGTGGTTTAAAGGGGTGCTGAAGGGGTTCTGTACTTGAGGAAAAACACTTAAATAGTCGTTGTTTGGCCTCCAGGACACTAATATTGAGGTAATTTTTCGATTTGGTGCCCGGAGGCTGCAGAAATAATTTACGAAGTACTGCTGCAGCCTTTCCTTCCGCAGAAAGGCTTCAGGAGTTTTCTGTACCTCCACTCTCGCGCATCTTCAGCGCTTAACAAAGCTATGTACGCGCACCCTTGCTATTTTCAAAAAGAGACGTCACGACTGGTGTCAGTGCGGGGGAGTATACCCAACAAGCTTTTAATGGCGTGCGCTGCCCACACGAGCGACACGCGCTTGGAGGCTCAAAGATCCCAGTATGACGTCGCGACTGGTCGGAGGTTTTTCATGTTTTCTCGCGTTTCGTTACATCTTTGGGGAAAACAGACGTGATATTTAGATTCACGGGATGAAACTACGCTAGAATTAACCTCTATCTCATTTTTTGAAAGAAGTGTTTCAGCCGAGACCCTAATTTTGAAAAACAAGTTATAAAAAAAAAGCTTTTTTGTTTACCGTGTTTATTCACCTAATGAATGCACTCGCATAATGAAGGCACCCCCCGCAAAGGTGTACCTATATTTGAACTTTCTTTTTCCCTCCTGTAATGAATGCACTTCAGTTTTCGGTTCCGAGAGTCTTGATGTGCGTCCAACTCACCAAGCTAATTTTTCTTTTGCTGCCAAGCAGTCGGGCTAAGTCAAGCCAAGCTGCTCTCGCAATGGCCGCAAGTGCTTACTTGCGGAAGTGATCAACCGTGAAACCGAGCGGCGCGCACACTTGACAAAGCTTGGGTCGAGGAATTGCCCAGCACCGGACATTCTCCGCCTATCGGATACACTGATGTCAACAAAGACGCCGTCGTCTCTGGTCCGCTTTCAGACAGTGAAATCGTGAAAGTGGTTAGGCCTAAGAACAGTCGTCTCACCTTCCGTGCTGAGTGAGCTTCGTAGGGTGTATTTCCTTCGGCAAAAGGCATGCCTAAAGCGTCCTAAGAAGGTTAGCAAGTTATAAAGCATAGTTATTGTGGCACGCCCCCGACCAGCCGTAAGTGCACCTCCATCACTGGAGACGTGCCACAGTATCTTGCCGTGTCATATTGGCACCTAATATGACATTTGCACGAAGTGTGTAAATGCAAATATTTATCTCGCATATCCCCAAATGTGTGTAAATGTTTCGGGAAAAAAAGTGTGTAATTATGCGAGTACATACAGTATATCGTACTTGCAAAATATATTGTAATTGCTGTACTTGGGAAGTGCATATTTATATAATTGCATCGATTCAGCTTCATACTCAGGCTGTCTACAAACATGTTTTGAAAGGCTGTTGTTTTCTCAGGATTTATTTTTTAGTCAACAGTTTTGCCACGGTATCTGGATCTAAAACCCTAATTAGTGTTGGATACTTCATAAATCCAAGAATACAATGGAAATATTTTTTTGAAAATGTTATTTGCAAAATGTTTTAATTGGTAAAGAGATTAATTATCATTTCTAGCCCTCAATAAAAATTTCAAGTTGTGAAAACTTTTTTTTCGGATGAAGCTAAAATTATTAAATGGCTTTGTTGAACTCTATTGTTTGTAGAATATGCAGACATACTTTGTATCATAGTTTTTGATGGGGTACTGTAGAAAAGTGGGGTGCAAACGTGATAAAGTTGGTTTTCTTCGACACTATAATAGGTAGGAAAACTAGGAGCTTACATTTGTGCTTAGCATGGAATATTATACATGTGATAATGTAATATAAATTGAATGAGAAATGCCAAAAATTATCAATACCAGGATCTCCCCTCTAAACTCCTGTTACTGCCCGCCCTGCCTTCTGCTCCATTTCATCATATGTTTTATAACTTTGCCACAGAGTCAGGTGTGCTTCTTGATGGCAGTGCTGTGATTTGTGTATGTTCAGAAGACAATACAGTTGTTTAATTTCAAAAATGTTTTTTTTTTCTTTTTTTTAAACAGAATTATAACTTGGAAGAGAATTATGTGAAAACATAGGCTACAATATTTCATTCTCGAAATCGAAACTGAACATTGGCTCATACAGGGATGGGCAAAATACATGCAAATATGTATCGAAATACAAATACAAAATACTTTGTCAAAAATGTATTTAATTACAAATCTAATTACATTTCCAAAAAAGCATTTAAGTGCAAGATACAAATACAACCAAATATATTTGGTCTCCTTCAAATACTTTTCCAAATACATTCCTCAATATTTGGGTCAGCGACCTCAGGGCACCTGCAACGGGTTTCTGGGTATCTCATTTTAATTTTGCATCGCACACTCGGGAATTAGTGTGCGACGCTCTAGTAACGTAATAGAAATATAATCACAACAGTGTAATCAGCTTGGACGTAATAGGTGACAAAAGTATAGAGCTTCAAGCAGCTTTTTTGTCGATTACATTTTGGTATAGACCAACAAAGAACCGAGACGACCAAGATGCACAGCACTAGCTAGAGAATTTTTTATTGTTGCAACTCGCACCAGCTACGAAACTCTGGACGACCGCACATTTAGAACGTTCCAGGCAAAAATATGGATGGAAATCAGGCTGGAAAGCATCACAAGTTGTCACAGGCACTTATTTAGCCAGTTTGCCTGCGAACGTCAATTTTGTCACTATTCTTGCCCTGGACTAGCACCGTAATCACAATCACTAAACGCTTGTGCTTGATTGAGAGACACTGCATTCGGTGCAGAACATAGTTTTCTTCCTGCTCTGCACACATCTTAGGATGAGCAAAATGAGTCGTGACAATAAATTTGAGGGATGTATTTTCGCCCACAAAATTGTATTTAATTACAATTGTATTTGAAATACCCACGTTTTAGTATTTAAATACACATGTCAAATGCATTATCCAATTTGTAATTAAATGCAAAATACACAAAGTATTTGAAATACGTATTTTAAATACTTGTATTTGAAATACTGCCCATCCCTGATGAAAAATGACATACAATTTTTTTTTGATAAATAAATGTTTAGTTTGTGTTGAAATGACAAATATTAGTCAACAAGACAAATCTGGGCAATGCTTCACCCGTGACGTCAGATCTCTGCAGACCTGCCCCCCAAGCCTGACTTATAAATACACCCCTGGTGTTATAAACAAAAAACTACGGATAATAAATGAAAGGCTGGCTTGGCAGACCAACAAAAGAAAGACGGGCTGTTAGTTGCTGGGGTAACCAAGGCGACTGGTCAGCAAGTTGCGCAGGCCTTGAAGTATTCGGTTTGTGTTCTGGCGTTCCGATGTCGCCTCCTGCATGGCGTCGGTAAGGTCCCTCATGCGGTGCAAGAGCTGGAATGATAGGGGACTTTAATTAACACTGCGCGAGGGTGACCCATGATCCTCGGTGTGGAAAACGGGACACTCGGGTTTGAAAGGTGGAGGGGCAATGCAACAGAAAAATTCCGAGGACACCTAAGCACTTCTTATGAGTTGTGGATGCGAAAGCGTGAATGTAGTTCTTCCGCTCCCTTAGTTTGTCTGCTGTGTACTGGCGTGGACGGCCACGTTTCGCTACTGCCAAAGTTGCGGCCGCCGACGATGTAGATGCCTCAGGCGCTGCGATGTTCCTCGGTGCCTAGAGGAGCAGAAGTGGCTGCAGCCCCCCCCCTCTGGCAACGCCTGACAGGAGAGTGGCGCTGGAGCGCACTTCTGTGTGGGGTGGCATTTCTTGGAACTATGACGCGTGGTGGCCAATGGCTATCTACCGTAAAATATTGAGCATGCGCACCCCCTCGTGTAAGCCCCCCCCCCCCCCCCCCATTTTATGAAAATTTAATATTTGTATGGCCGCCATCTTGAATGTTATTCCCAAACTGAGTAAGGGCACTTTCCCCTCTCCCTATTTTGATTGGATAATCCCTAAATCTTGGGGGGGGCGGGTTCGCTCAGCATTTTACAGTAAGAGTCGTTTCGCTGGGAATTTGTTGCGCGTTTTTTGCAGTTACTGACGCCGCGGGGGAATGGGATAGGAGCCGTTTCGCTGGGAATTTCTTCTAGATTTTGTGCAGTTACAGACGCTGCCAGGAGAAGGGGAATTCCTTGCACATTTTTCGCGGTTACAGACGCTGCCGGCTCCGCTCCATGGGACCAGTTCATGCTTTCGCATTAAAACTTGCTATAGTCGTTTGAGCGTAGAAGTGCTATTGCTCCGAAGTCTGAAAAGTTAGTTCAATCGCCAGTCTCGCCAGTTTTACACAATGTTTCACTGTTGTCTAACATGTCAACTGCTGGGATCGAAGCAAGTGACAGTACGACATATTTATGATGTCGTCGGACAGATTTCCACGACCGATTGCGACATCCGACAGCACTACACGCTGGCTCTTCTGACATAGCTTATTGTCACTGTAGAACCCCTCTCAATGCATGAGACAAAAGCGAGACAATCCTTTCCCACAGAGCTCTCTGCTCGCCGGCGGTTTCCCCCCTCTCCAGTGTTCACTCGCTCAAGGGGGAAGAGTGGAGGGCTTTGTGGGAGGAGCTTGCTCCACTATCTGAAACCTGCAATAGACTAAAGTGTAATCCACTTATAACAATACCACGTATATATTGATCAGTTTGTAGTCCAGGTACAACGATAATTGGTTACAACAATTGCGTTTTCGGGTTTTTTCATTACGGTTATAAGTGAATGGCACTGTATAAGCACAGGGGTCCAAGACACGTTCCGGGTGCCGTTGTGTTGCCGAGTTTGAGCCAATACCTGGCCTTGGAGCTCCCTCTCCTGGGCAGCACTTGCCATTTTCTCTCGGTGCTGGCGTGCACACTGTTCCGCGGTCTGGCGGAGAGCCCGGACGACAGTCTCGAGGGAGGCCTCGTTGTGCCTCGCCCGCTGGGGTGTGGCCCGAGACACTCTTGGCCCCGCATCTGCCGGCAAATGGAGAGCGGGCAACGATTGAGCTGACAGTAGGGTCGCTGCTGACAGCAAAGTCCCAATCTCGGTGGTCCTCAAGAAAGAGCTTACCCTCCGAGGCCGCCGTGTCCCGCTGATCCTGCTCCGGCAGACTCGCAGGTTTCTTCTAGAAGGGGAATTGATCGGTACTGATCAGCACATATGGTCTTGTTTGTACTTTTTGTTCATCGAGAACAACTTTCTACTCGGAGTAAACACTCGTATAATTAGGGTTCTGTGTTCTCTGGCTTTTTCTTTGTATTTAACAGTGTTTTATGAGGTATTTTCTTCAATATATTTGGTGTTATTTGGTTTTGGGCAAAAAGAATCCGTTTATCGAGGTTCATGTGGAAGAAAATAGGACACGGACATGGGATTCCCCAACCTCTGGGGAAAATGCTTGTATATTGTATAATCCCATAATCACCATTATTACACGGCACCGCAGGCCTACATCCCACGTAGCACGAGAACGTTCCGAGAACTTTCCGGGAATGTTCAAAAGACCATAGGCAACATTCTTGGAACGTTGCAGATTTACGTAAGAACATTCGATCAATGTTGTCAGAATGTGGCGCAGGCACTTATCGCTACATTCGGGGAATGTTTTCTGAGGGACATTCTTGGAACGTTTTGAGAGCGACATAGAGCATTACCAGGACATTCAAATATCCTAACAAGGTTCTAAGAATGCTCTCAGAACATCCAAAGGACTTCTGCGACTTTCTTGAAATGTTGTAAATTTATGCAGGGACATCCGTTCGATATCCTCGGAACGTGGAGTGGGTACATCGTTACATTCAGGGAACATTCTCTGAGCACTATTTACAAAGATTCCACAATTACGGCTTGCTCAGGCTACAGCTCCAATGAGCCGCACTACATATATGGATGTGATAAAGCTCCTCACAGGGCAATATTTTTTAATCGAAACGGATGTCTAGAAGGCACAAGCACAAGCTAGCCGCTTTCCCAGCGCACCAGCCCGAGCATGTACTAATGACAGTTCACTCCTACCTGTCACTTGGCAACTTCTTTCATTCAAAATGTGCTGTATGCATAACCGATTACCCACTCAGAGCTTAAGAACAAATGCACATGGCATCCCACATTCAACTGGGAAATAGCTTTTTCGAAGTTTTAAACCCCAGATACTAAATATCTGGTTCATTCAAAACTGCCCCTCTACATATGCAGTGAGTGTTAAGTTTAGGATCAAGTTTTGAAAACCATTGCTTTTCTCCTACACCTTATATTCCTCGGTAGACCCATAAAAACTGATACCTCATGCTAAGTTTCCAGAAACTCCACTGAATTTGCATATTTTTGGCACAAAGTGGCATATAGTGAATGGTGTTTCGAACCACAGGCTGCGTGAGAGCTCCGTAAAGTTGGGTTCACCTGCGAAATTTCTAGGAATGTTCGCAAGCGAACGTTCCAAGAATATTGCGGATATGAATGTTAGAAAAGGCACGTCCCGAGAACATAGTGCATACGAATGCTCGCTAACGAACGTTCCTAGAATGTTGAGCAGCTTGTAGGGAATATTTGCACACGAACGTTCCTGGAACGTTCCGAATGGTGTTTTAACGTTCTTCAACATTCAGAACATCCAGGGAATGTTCGCACAACATTGGGTGCTACTTGGGTACTTCTGAAACTTTGGCATGGTTTGGACCAGACGGCAAAGCCGCCAAACAAAACAAAAAAAAAACACATAATTTTTAAGGGGTACACGTTGTATGTATACGTACAGTGCTAATCGTACTTGTCTATAACGCGCGAGCGTGCGGCTTTCTCCGGGGAGCGCTGTACTGGTGGCATTCGCGGAAACTAAGCTAGTCACGTGGCGCAACATGGAACGGCCCGCTCGAGGGGTGTCCTGCCCACTTTATCAGCTTGATAAGCGATAAAAGTAAAGTGCTTTATGATATATATTTGTTTTTTGATGACGACATCGTTGATACGCCTTCATGCTTTAGTGTGTTTATTGTTCGAGCAATGATGTTTGTAAAAAGCGTGCGAGCAGCCTTCCGCGTTCGCCGCCAGCTGATAGAGTGGGCAGGACGACACACCTCGAGCGGGCCGTTTCATGTTGCGCCACGTGACTAAATTAGTTTCCCGGAAGGCCACCAGTCTAGCGCTCCCCGGAGAAAGCCGCACGCTCGCGCGTTATAGGCTCCTTGCACATGACGTCATTTCCGATACCCTCCAGAGAAGAGGGGGAGAAGGAGCTCCCCTCTTATCAGGACCCTCCTTTGTGCCTTCCGGATTTGCACAGGCGTCGCTATTCTCCTCCCAGAAGATTATAGAAGATTAACCCGTCACTCAAAATTCTTACAAAAGCAGCTTCCCTCTCCTCCTTTTACTTGGTGTGCAAATGTGTGCGATGTGACGTCAATGCAAGGAGCCTATACACCAACTCATGTTTACAAACAAACCGGAGCGCCCGGAGCGCCCCTAGCGGACGCCACCGGCGCCGCGCATGCGCGATGGGGGTGTGGGCAAAAAGCTCGCCGTCGCCCATAAACAAACCATTGAAATGCGATGTTGTCGGCGCCGGTGTGAGTCCCCGCGCTCTTTTTCGCGTTGGAACTGTTGATTCTACGTCCTCCTAACGATGTCTGACTACTTGAGCAGCGTCAGCGAAATTAACGAGGCTCGTTACACCGCAAAACTTCGCGTGAATAATCTGGCATGCGGCGATTCATTCCGCGTGGACGCCGCAGAACGTACGCTAAAGCCTGATTCACATGATGAGATTTCGCTCGCAATTTTCAGTAGCGACGTCGCTCGGACTGCAAAAGCGTGAACCGTAGCTGAGATGGTCGACGTCGATTCTGAAAGTCGCAAGCAGAATCTAACCAAGTGAATCAGGCATAACAAGTCGGTGATGGCCACTGGTAGCAATGATCAACATCTCCTTGTATCTGCTGTTTACGTCGAGCCTGCTTACCTAACCTTCAAACTTAAGTCTTTTAAGGCCTGCACTTAATTCTTATCGCAAGTACCGGGCCCACGTTTGGTCTACGGGCCGGTGTCCTATAAAGAGCAGACGACAAGCAGAAACGTTTGAAAGAGCAGACGACAGTTCGAACGATCAGGCGACCGTTTGAACTTGAAGACGCACTAAACGTAGTCCGCAGGTGGTCCGTACAACTTGACGGTTTTCCGGCGTTCATTTTGGAACCAAACAAATAAATTTGATGGCCAGCAGTATCCGTGAATTTAACCCAAAATGCTTCCCGCCCAAGCAATCGTTGTCCGACGGCGTCTGGTTTTCCCTTTTCACGGCACATATCCGCGTTCTCGGACGAACCGAGCGCATGAAAACTGACCTTCAAACCTTTCTCGACTCTCTTGGTACAGCCCCAGTCGCAGCATCTTGACGACAAGGCAGGTTTTTGTCTGGTTCCTTTCAAAACAACGCAGGAATACACGTCTCAAATGGGCACTTCCGCCCACAGCCCCAGACCGGAAGTGCGTCCGACGCGCCACCACCGCGCCGTGACGAGTATGATTAGCACTGTACCTGTTGGTCGTCTTCGTCCTTGTAGGTGCGGCAGCGAAAGCCCGTCGGGGTCCTGTACGCCGAATCGTCGCCCACTAGCGTCAATATCCAGGCGTGGGACGAAGATAGCGGGCGCACACGGGCGCGTCCGCCTGGTCCGCCACTCGCTTGCCTGCGGACACAAGGCACAATCAACGACGTCGGTTCACACCCTGATCAGACAACAACAGATTACCTATATTCTTCCGCGAGCTGTTCAGCTTTCCGCTGCGCCTTCATGACGCGCCGGGACCACGCAGCCATCCAACCTCGGAAAGTGTTGGTCGGGGGGCCCAGCGCGTTTAGGCACTCGGTCAGCTCATGCCAGAGTCGCACTTTTTCGTCGCTGCTCAGGCGCATGGTGAGGTCCGTGGGGTCGCGCGCGAGGCGCGGGTTTTCGTTCATAAAGTTAAAAACCACGTTCTTTTGAGCACGAGTTAGCCGCGTCGCGCGTCTGCCTTGCTGCGCCATGATGTTCGAAAGAAGCGCCTTGCAAGAGTCCGCACAACGTTGTTGACGTTGTGACGTTGTTTTGTTCAAAAAACCTTTTTCGACTTTTAAACGTTGGTAGTACTCAGCAAAAGTATGTTTGTTTAAAACACGCACATACGCTGGGTTATTTTGTTTAGAAGATTACTTTAAATAGAAATGATTTTTTGCATGAGATTGACCGTCGCCTCGTTGCAAGGTGCGTCGCCGCGCCGGAGTTTGCCTCTCCGGCGGGGGGAGTTGCGCCGCATTCATCGCCGAAAGGCCAGGAAAGGAGATTGGGAGTGTCTACATCCACGCGCGGGGATGTAGCCACGTCGGGAGGAGATGAGGCTCCATCCACGCAATACGTCACTTCCGGCGCACTACGATTTACTTCCGGTCTAGCCTCACATTGTTTTTCCATCTCCTCGGCGGCCATTGCACCTTGCGTTCCTGCCGTGCGCGGACTACTGTCTACTGTGCCTGCCTGGTCTTCCGCAAGCGGATTTGACTTTCTCTGAAGCTTTTCTTTTTTATTCCTGTTTTCTCGGACAAGGAGTTTGACCGTTTGAGTATCGTATCAGCACGGTCGCGCTTCTGATCTGCCTCAAGTTTTGGTTGCCGGGGATTCGACGGTGAAATACTTGGCCTAGTATTTCCCATAGAATAACCGGGTGGCTGTCAAAGTGCGGGCGTTTAGTGGCATTAGGATCGAGACTTTGCTTTCCAAGGTGTCTGACGCCCTGCTCGATTTTGGCACAAACAACACCAGCGTTTGCGCCAGCGCGTAAGTTGACAAGTATCGTCGGCTGGCCGCTCAGATCTTGGAACGCAGTCCGACCATGCAGATCCCCTTTTCTTCCGTCCTTCCGAGGCGGGAGAACAGGTTCTCTTCGATGGAGTGTCAGCGTAGCCAAGAGTGCCGAGATCCAGGCGTTGAATGATCGGCACAGAGACGTGAACTGGCTCCTGCAGGCGTTTTGCCGCAAGAAGGGCTTCACTTTCATCGCTGATCTCGTGGACGAGTGGCATTTGTGCATCGGCTACTGTTTTATTTCTCATGGAATAAACTTTTTCTGTAATCTTTTACCCAGTTTTCTCGATTGCATTCTCTCAGTATGTTTGTTATTAATGGGACTAATGCATGTTTTCCCTTTTCTCACAATCTTTGTGTTATTGCGAGCGTGCGCGCAAGTCAAGAACGCATGGAGCGGTGAGCACTAACTTGTCCCCTTTGATACACATAAGCTCACATTAAAACACTTCGAACCAAGCCAACCACACACACAACGAAGCTACTCCGCCTCGCCTCAGCAGCGACGCACACATGGGCGAAGGCCCCAGAGGCCCAGAGGCCGCACCCGCACGGCCCGCACGCACGGATGGCACCGTTTGATGGCACGCACGCCGCCCTCCTGGACAACATAACTATAAAGATATATATTGGTACTATTTTTATGATGTATGATATTTGCTACTATTCTTAGAAAACAGTAAACAATTGATGAATTGTCTAAAACTTTCTAAGGTCACGTGACATATTAACTTTTAAAAGAACAATGAAATGTAACCTCTTTATTTTTATATCCTATATTTACTTATAAAAAGCATAATATGTACATTAAAACAAATTATCTCCTTATTTTATAAGTCACGTGACCTTTTGCGTGGATGGAGCCTTATCTCCTCCCGACTTGGCTACGTCCCCGCGCGTGGATGTAGCCTCGGCCAAGGAGATTACCAACGCTTTCGGCGGGAAACTCAAATTCCACTTGTAGAGCGATCCAAAACCACTCGATGCTCACGCGTTTGGAGCAGCGAATGCTAGCTCGCGTTTGCACGTGCATAAAGATACCAAGAAAAAAGCGCCCCCTAACCGCTCCAATCTACCCGCGGAATTCGCCCATCAGAGTGCTGCTTTCCGTACACTAAGTGCGCTTTCAAAATCATTTGGTATTTATTTGTGTCGTGTCGCAAGGTGTGTAAAGAGGACCTGGAGCTGAAATATAGAGTAACTAATACCACCTTCACAGAACTCATCTCTGTTACGTCACGGCGCGGTGGTGGCGCGTCGGACGCACTTTCGGTCCGGGGCTGTGGGCGGAAGTGCCCATCCGAGACGTGTATTCCTGCGTTTTTTTTTTTTAAAGGAACCAGACAAAAACCTGCCTTCTCGTCAATATGTCGCGACTCGGTCTGTACCAAAAGAGTCGAGAAAGGTTTGAAGGTCAGTTTTCATGCGCTCGGTTCGTCCGAGTACGTGGATATGTGCCGTGAAAAGGGAAAACCAGACGACCGTCGGACCACGATTGCTTGGGCGGGAAGCATTTTGGGTTGAATTCACGGATACTTCTGGCCATCAAATGTATTTGTTTTGTTCCAAAATGAACGCCGGAAGTCCGTCAAGTTGTACGGACCACCTGCGGACTACGTTCAGTGCGTCTTCAAGTTCAAACGGTCGCCTGATCGTTCCAACTGTCGTCTGCTCTTTCAAACGTTTCTGCTTGTCGTCTGCTCTTTTAGAGGACACCGGCCCGTAGACCAAACGTGGGCCCGGTACTTGCGATAAGAAGTAAATGGAGGCCTCAAAAGACTTAAGTTTGAAGGTTGGTAAGCAGGCTCGACGTAAACAGGAGATACAAGGAGATGTTGATCACTGTTATACCAGTGGCCATCACCGACTATGCCTGATTCACTTGGTTAGATTCTGCTTGCGATTTTCAGTATCGACGTCGACCATCTCAGCTACGGTTCACGCTTTTGCAGTCCGAGCGACGTTGCTACTGAAAATTGCGAGCGAAATCTCATCATGTGAGTCAGGCTTTAGCGTGCATTCTGCGGCGTCCACGCGGAATGAATCGCCGCATGTCAAATTATTCACGCGAAGTTTTGCGGTGTAGCGAGCCTCGTTAATTTCGCTGATGCCGCTCAAGTAGTCAGACATCGTTAGGAGGACGTAGAATCAACAATTCCAACGCGAAAAAGAGTGCGGGGACCCACACCGACGCCGACAACATCGCATTTCAATGGTTTGTTTATGGGCGACGGCGAGCGTCTTGCCCACACCCCCATCGCGCATGCGCGGCGCCGGTGGCGTCCGCTAGGGGCGCTCCGGGCGCTCCGATTTGTTTGTAAACATGAGTTGGTGTATTGGGAAGTACAGGGTGTCACAAAAGAAAATTTACACGGTCTTTTTTACCGCAAAAATAAATTAGGCATCACCGAACGCTCATTCTCCGCCCTAAGGTAGAGCTAGAGGTCCCAACCAGATGCCAAACTTTCAGCCCGATCCGATAACTTAATAAAAAGTTATAAGTGATTTTCTGAAAATTTCAAAGGGAAAATGGAGCCCATTTTTGCCCGTTTTCGGTTTCTGGTGCCATACAGCCCCATGTGTTTGAAAACTCCGTCGGCCGCCATTTTTCCATTGAAATTTTCAGAAAATCAATTATACCTTTGATTAAGTTATCGGATCGGGCTGAAACTTCGGCATCTGGTTGAGACCTCTAGTGCTACCTTTGGGCGGAGAATGAGCGCTCGGCGATGCCTAGTTTATTTTTGCGGTAAAAAAGACCGTGTAAATTTTCTTTTGTGACACCCTGTACTTTAATTACATTGTACTTTAAGTACTACTTCAAGTATAGGTTTAGAAAATATGTACTTTACTTGAACTACATTTTCTAAGGATGTAATTGTACTTTACTTAAACTTTTTTTTCTGATAATTTTTGAGAAAAGTACAATGCCGATTTCCAGTGTGGGATACTGACATGGTATTTATGCTCGCCAAGGTGTTTATTTGCACATCACATATAAGAGGCCAACTACCCAGGACACAATCTGCGGCTCGAAATTCGTTTTCTTTCCGCCCGAAAACCGCCGATCGAGAACTGGTCGGTTTGAGTCGTGCTCACTCTCTTCTCCGTGGTCGCGTGCCGTTTTCTATTCTTCAGACTATGAGTGTCGCGAACTTTTGTCGAACCGGATTTTTAGGTCGAAGTTTCGAGGTTCGACTGGGTCGACGATCCTTCGAACTTTTAGCGAGAATCGACCGGTTCGACTTTGTGGGCAGTGCTGTCAGACCTTAATACAAACATGTCTAGGTATGAAAAAAAAAAAAAAAAAATTATGCGAGCGGTTATTTAAATTTTTGGTACAGTTGCAATTAAAAAAATAATTATAATCACTGAAGAAGTTAATAACTTCTTGTACTGCATTTAACTGAAATCCCTTAGGCCCGCTTCAGACGGTGCAATTTCGCCCAGCAACTTGACGTCGCAACACCAGCAACACGGGCCGCCCGCGTTCACACGCAGCAACCGAATTGCTACGACTTGCCATCATCATATTGAAATTTGATTTTTCTTGCACTATTTAGACGCACAGCTACGCGCTATAAACGTTTTATTATATCTTTGAATGGCGTTGGAAAATACTAACTCATCTTTCTTAAAAGGTTTATTTCCAAAAACGATCCATTTCAAGCCAGAATTAAGTCTTTAGCTGTCATTATCACCACCACAGGGTTGTCACGTGAAAATATCGCGTCCCTGATTGGCTGCCGCCGCTTCAAACGTCTCCGAGTTGTTCGAGTTGCTCGTCCATTTCGAGCCGGACCCGACCTCAGCAATTCGTGTCGATCTAGGGAAAGCTAGGGCGGGCCTGCCGCCTTAGCCATCACCATCCAATCCGAAGTTCGACTGCTATGGCCAACGTGCATAGCAGTCGAACCTGAATCAAACCTTTGTCAAACTTTTCACAAGAAGTCCAAAAAAGTCGAACCTGGTCGAACTTAAATCTCGACCGGTTCGCGACACCCCTAGTTTAGACGCAACCACCAAAGATAATCAAAGTCGTGGGTCATCAAGGCACACAGTCACTACTAAAAATGGACAAAGAATATGATACCCATTTTTACAGCGGAGCTGTTAAGGGCTAGTTTCCCCAGGTTTGTGTCTGTCATCAAATAAATGTCGACACAAAACTCTGGACAGCTACCGCCATCTATGAGCGAC